ATACTTGCCAGAGTGCTAGACCACACTTTGGGGGGTCCAAAATGCTATGTGACGTCGCCGCGCGAGCTCTGTAGCGAGAGCAAATGACAGCGGCAAATAACTTGTTGATATAGTGTGCTTTTCCGCTATACTGAAATACTGTACGGGATACAAGGCCTCATCACGCAGCGGTATCACGCGCACTTTGCCTCTCTCGGCCACATGCAACACGCTCTTGAACATGAATAAATAGAGTCTGCGTCCTCGGTTTCCGCGATTTCGACGCATTTCCAACCGAAATTGCATGTCAAATTTCCTGAAAACCGAACGCTCGGTAGTTCCAGTTTGGTGTGAGTGCCCAAGCCACGACAGCGACCAACAAGCTGGTCGCACACCGGGTCAGACCCATCGCCAACTGTGGCAGCCAGTCTTACGGTCCTTGGAGCTTTGGAACCCAAGATGTCACGTAAAGTATTTGGGCAAGCCACCACCTCGAAAAATGGAAAATGGATTTGCGCGTGATTGCGCTACGTGCAGCGTCGGAAACGCCATTTACGTCATTCAAGAAGTGTGTGGAGAGGTATACCCGGCTGCAACGTGGCGCTGGCGCGTCTGTGGGCTGCTACTCGTCGTTGTGCTGCATGGGGCGCACACTATTTAACAGTCGTGAACAAAGTCTTGTGATTGGCTAGAAAAAATCAAGGATGGCATTCCAGCTCGGCGAGCCACATGCACAAAAAGTGGTGTGGACGCGCGCGAACATCGGGAAGGTCCGGCGCGACGAGCGGCTGCACCAAGAGGCAGAGCGCGCTGCCTTCCACGAGAAGCGGACCTTGACGGCCGCGCCGAGGCGCTCAAGAAGACCAAGCCGACGCCGCCGGGCATCGACCTCTTTGCGCCCGACGAGACCGCGCCACCGCCAGTCGCCAGCATCAATAAGTACACAGACAAAGTCATCGCGCTCGGCGGTGCGCTGAGCCCGGTCCACTACCAGATAGGCCGACGCAAGCCGCCCTTTCAGCCTTGTCCTAAAGCAGAGCCAAGAAAAAAGGACGCTACCGAGGCGCCACGTGCAGCGAGCGCCGACCCAGACTCGGCTTTCTCCCACGTGCCGACGCTGACGGGCAACCCGTGGGCTGTCTGGAAGGTCACCAACACGGGCAATGGCAAGCTCGCGCTAAAGCCGATTCCGGGAGCTAACTGGCGCGCTGCAACAGCTGTGCCCCGGGCGCCGCGTACCCGGACGACGTGTTTGTCCACGTCAAGGACGGGCGCACCGGCCCGTGGGCCTAGTGGACGTGCGTTGACGCTAGCAACGGCAAGATCACCTTCCAAGCCGACAGCGGTAATTGCCTTGCGCGGTGCAACAACGGCGTTCGCGGTGGCCTGCACCCAAGGACGGCGCGTGGGTGCAGTTGGCCGTCGTCAAGCCCTAAACCAACCAATCACATCTCCTGCCCGCTACTGTAGCGCGCTTGTGTGCATGGCGTATAGCTAACCTCGTGAGTCATGGCACTGCTCTTTGTATATACTCGTGTCGTCTTTGCAAGGGTTTTGGATGTCGAGGATTCAATCACCAGGGTGTCTATTCACTGGAGCCCGGCAGCGAAATCGAGGACTTGGAACAGAGCATCACAGTTTGAACGGCTCGCCTTTCAAGTGGAGTACGTACCGAGGGAGTTGGGCACATGGTTCGGCTTCTTGACGCAGCGGGTGCCACGTATGAATACCATCGGTTTTGTAACGGCGCCCGGCCTTTCTATTCTTACACGCGGCAGCGTTGGCACGCAGTTGAAACAGCAGCGCCACGCACAAGAGAGACGCATGGAGTCGCCGCCACGGTCTGTGAGCCCACCCCACATTAGCCGCAGTCGGTCGGTGCGGTCGTCGGTCACGTCGGCGCCGACGAGGGACCTTTTGCGCACCGACTGTGGCGAAGCCCGGCCGCGGTACATGCAGGAGACCACGTCGAGCATCCAGAAGTACGGCCCCGCCGACGAGGTACATTCGCGCCTGCAAAATCCCTCTCACATCGACATGTGCGTTTATAGGAGTCCCCGCCCAAGATGCTCTGCCACCCGCCTGGCAACCCGATGCTCATGTCCCGCCGGTCGCCCAAGCTCGATTTTCGCCCTGAGCCCGTGACACGCCGCCCGAGCAATTCGAGTCCGCCCAAGACGGCCGACCTGGAGCGTCAGCTCGAAGAGATGACAATGCACTACCATCAGCTGCAAGCGACGCTCGCGGACAAGGACGCAATCATAAGCACCTTTACGCAGACATGCACCCGTCTCCAAGCCGACTGCGAGCTGCTAGCAGAGAGCGCGGCGAGCTGGAAGGCGCGCTACGAAGCTCTCTCCGCACGCGACCACGAGGTTCCAAGCCCGTCGACTGCTACCGACGAAGCCGTGCTCGAGTTGCGCAGTATCCTACTGGTCGAGGCAGACGACGCGCCAGCAAAGAAGGCGACGCCCTCGTAACTTTCCGATCGCTAAACCTTGTAACATAAACTGCGGGCAACATTGTCTCTATTTTTAGTCCTTCGCCCTACCCCGGGTGTCTATCTTGGCTCGCTTCACTGCAGTTCTAAATTTGCATCGATAGCATGAGCTCAGGGCGGCCGCTCGTCCGGCCTGCGAGCGCCCACCCTCGGCGGGCGCTGGAGCGCAAGCTCTCCGACAGCGGGATTCCCGTGCCACCAAGCGCATCGAGTGACGCCGTGAAGGCCCCCACTAGCGGCAAAGCCGTCGCAGCGTCCAAGCTCAAGACATCTCCGCCGCCCCCAGCTATTGTGACAAGCGCGCCGTCCAAGCCACAGCGCACGCAGTCGATGGTGTCGCATCTGGTCTCACCGCGCACTTCGCCTCCAGAGCGGCGACCGTCGGCAATAACTCGACCACGATCGGCGACGAGTAGTAGCTCGATCGAGGTAGCGCGCACTCGGCGAGAAGGCATTTTCCTATGCTTGCATGTAGGCGAAGCGACTGACGCCCCGAAGCAAAGCGGCGAGGACAATCGACCAAAGCGTGGAGGCGCGCAGCAAGGCGACACCAGCACCACCATCCTCCTCGGCCAACGATGTCTCCGGATATGCCGGCATCAAGCCCGAGACCGTCGCCGATTGGAAGAGCCAAGTGGAAGCGCTCGAGCGAACGAAGCAGTCGCTCGAAGCGAGCGCGGCAACCAAAGACGACGTCGTGCGCCATTTGCAGCAGCAAATCGCGCATCTCCAGTCGGTCTTGACCGACACGCAGAAGATTTGCGCCAAGTTTCAAGGCGACTGCAACACGCTCGCCGACAAGGCGCTCGTCTGGAAGAAAAAGTACGAAGATCTTGTAGTCGAGCACGAGGCGCTGCAAGATGCCGGCCGCCTCACCGTGGTCTCCAACTCATGGGACGTGGGCGACGACGACGACGATGCGAGCGCGACGATCGTCGAGCGATTCCGGAGTGACGACGGCGAGCTGGCGTCGGCCGAGCACTGCATGCCGGGGCATCTCCAATTCGAGGACGACGACAACGACAATGACCTTGGGTGTGACGCGCCTCCTGCGCACGAACTTCAGATTCAAGCGTTGAAAGCCGAAGTGGCGAGTCTGCGTGCGGTGTTGCCTGAGGCCAAGGTGCGCGAACTCGAGAACGAGCTCCGGCGCTTCAAGCAGCACATTGTGCATTTGTCCAACGACCACGACGAGCAAGTAGCCGAGCTCCAACTGCAGCTCGCCCAACGCGATTGTACGCCTGAAACAACGGTGACCGACGACATAAAGGATGGTAGCAGTGCACAACGCAAGTACGAACACGTGCGCAAGCAGCTAAACATCGCACGCAACGTGATTCGCGAACTTCAAGGTCGCGCAGAGATCCAAGCCAAGTGCCTGCAGGATCAAACCGCCGAGCTCCGAGACGCACGCGTCGCGGCGCAGGAGGTTGCGGCCAAGACTGCGCTGATCGTCTCGCTGCAAGGCCGCTGCGACAGCTTGCTTGCCGAACTGGCCCGTGCCCAGAAGACAACGACAGCGTCCAGCCCAACATCGCCGCTTGTCGACGTCGAAGTCTGGCAGCAGCAATACCGAGGTGTCGCGGCCAGCTTGAAGAAGCAACAGGAAAAGTACAAGCGCGACACCACCGCGTTGCAACAACAGCTTCAAGCCCTGCAGCACGAACTCGGCGCACGCGAACCTCGCAACGACCACGCGGCATTGACAAAGGAGCTCGATGATGCGCGGCGCGCCTATGGGCGCGTGCAAGAGAGCCTTGCACGCCATCGCTTCGTACGCGCGAACCTCCGACGCCGCAACAGCCATCTGGAACGAAGCGTGCTGGCGCAGCGCACGGTGCACGAGTCGCTGGCCTCCGCCCGCAAAGCGCTTGCGACCAAGGAGACGGAGCTGCGCCACATGGAGCGCAAGGCCGCCACGATCGAGCGCGTCTTGAACGACGTACGAGCGAACGATAAGGCGGCTACGGGTCAGCAACAGCCGCTCAAGGTGGAGGCATTGGCGTGGCAGCGCGAGGCCGAGCGGGCGGCGCAGGAGGTCTCGGAGCTCCAGTCGTCCTGTGCTGCGACCATAGCCTTGCATGCAGCCGCCATTATGGCCTACACCAAGACCGTCTAGGTGCTTCGAAACACAAGAATAAAGAGATATATAGTGCAATATGTTAGTCTCGTGACACGTCTTGGAAGCTCGTCGAATGAAGTGCTGTTAGCTGGCGCGTTTTGCGATGGTCGGATACGTAGTTGCGGATCACCATGCATGTGGTGACAACAAGAGCAAAGATAAACAGCGTGAGGATCACTGCGACGCGAAGGACGGACGCGTCGGCGTTGCCGTTGGCGGCGCGCTTGTAGTAACTTCGGCGGGTGTTGGCAAAGGCCAGGGAGACGGCCGAGTAGCTTGTTGACATGCTGTAAAGTTGAAGACTGAATAGGAATTGCACTTGCTTATCGAGTCCCTTTGTATAGCGACAGCGACAGGGCGTGACGAGCGCAACATCGTGGTGGCCGTTTCAGAGTTTCACAGTCCCTTTTACCTGCGGTTTCGCTTCTGATTGGTGGATTTCGGCCAATCACAGACACCCAAATTTTGCAAATCAGGAAAAGCGCCACACATTCTCGACAATGTGTGTTGCTAATTAAATTGGAGAGTCTACATGGGACGGGTCCCTAAGTTGGGAAGAAGATGCAACCTGTGCCTGCATTGTAGTGTCAAACGGGATAGTTGTTGGTTGCAACTTGATCATTGACAGCTTCCACGCGCACTTGGAGAACCTTTTTCATGTCTTAACCTCCTAATTTCCTCATCCCCACATCTTTCAAGTGTGAAAGGTGTCAAGAATTCTCGAGATCTGACGTATCGTCACGGGAAGCTTCTAAGTATGAGAGTACATTGCCTAGAAAGTTGTTCTACCACTTCTCTCAAGAGCTACTTCTTGGGCGTCTTGTTGTCTTGTGACTGCTTGGCTGCAAGTTCCATCCTTAAAGTGATTTTCTTGTATCCTACTCGCTTGGCCATCACACGGGACGTTGTTGGCGAAGCTCCACCGGACGTTGCTGGCGAAGCTCCACCGACCGGATGACGTGGCCGCCACTGGTGCTGAAGACGATAAAAAACCCACATTGGCAAGTTTAACCCACAAACATCGAATAAACGCATAAGACGCCGCCACGTCAGAAAATAAGACCACGTCAATTTCGAAAGAATCCAACGGGATCCAAAAGGATCATGTCGTACCGCGACGAGTACCCCGTCGGGAGCGACGACGACGACGAAGTATGCAGTCTCTTGAACAACCCCCGGCGGCGCGCACCACTGCACATGAACAGCTACCTCTCTCAGATCGAGCAGCACCAGCGAGCGCGGCTCCAGCGCTGGCGGCGCCTCAAGATCCTCTTCGCAGCCATCATCGCCGTGGCGACCTTGACGACGCTCTCGCTGCAGTACAGTACTACGTGGCAGCCGGACGCGCCGCCGTCGTTTGTCGCCGCCCGCGCCGCCTCGATTTGCGACTCGACCCAGTGCATTGACATTGTACCACGCACCAAGCTGCTGCCGGCCGTCTGCCCAGCGCTCGACCGCGACCACATACACGTACGTCAGTAGGAAAACGACTCGTTTATGAGGCTTGGGTGCGTAGGTTGTGGCCGACTATGTCGTTGGCCGTTTGTATCTTGAGACGTGGCCGGGCGACGCCAACTTTACCTGCAGTCAGCCGCGAGTGACCAACGCAACGATGCGCTACGAGGACGAGATCACGGCGCCGCTGGCCGCCTGCCCTATGGACGTGACCGTGACGGGCGCGCTTACACCGACATCTCTCTCAAGGACGGTGTCGACGCGCCTCTACTTCATCGACCATGCGTACACACACACCTCCAGCCATCTTTTTGACACGTTGTCTCGGTAGAACGTATCGGACGCCGGGTCTGGCGGTGGTCGTGTCGGACGGCTGGGACGGCCAAAGCATCCAGGGACTACCAGGCGTCGTCTTGAACGACCACGCCGAGGGTATCTGGCTCGGTCTCGCGGTACCGAGCGGTGTTAACGTGACGCAAATTCACATGCACATCACGGACGCAGAAGGTCGGCGCGATTTGCTCGAAGTGGTCGTGACGCTGCCGCCGACCACCGCGCTTGCGGGCATCCGACTCGACCGCGACGGACGTGCGTGGCCGCCAGGTCGCTACCATGTCGACGCCGCAAATCTCTTCGCGACGTCCTTTCTCGTACTCTCCACCAGCTCGCGAGCGATCGCGCCTCTCGATGACGTCATCAAGCCGCCAGCGGTGTTCAACGGAACCGCAGTCGCTGCAGCCTGCCAAGACCGCGTCAATGACTATTGCGCGTGCCAGGCGGCGACGGCACAAGATGAGCCCTAACGCTCCGAGAGTGCGATGCACAAAATAAGAAAATATATTCGTCAAAAATGGGGATCCCAATCTATAATATCGTGGCACCTGCAGGATCCTACTTACATCAAAGCAACGAGCGACAGGCGTATCCCATAGCAGCGAGATGCGTACATGGATAGAGTACATCGTACACGGCACTGCGAGTTTGCCGCACTTTGCCGATGTCTGAGTTTGCCGTAAAAAGGCGCTTTTGCCACAAAATGACCAAAATGACCGTACTTTACCGCTCTGTACGGTACATTTGCGATCTTGGGGCCAGCACCGGCGCTTGCCAGATTCGGATTGGCACGATGCTGCTGCGTCTTGGTCTTCTAGCGGCTGCTGCGATTACGTGCGTCGTCGCCGAAGCGCCGCATGTGTGCATCGTGGGCTCGGGCATTGCGGGCGCTAGCACCGCCCACTTCCTCGCGGACGCGGGCGTCCACCTCAGCGTCTTTGAGAAGGAAGACCGCATTGGCGGTCGCATGCACGCGTTCCCGTACCGCGGCGTCAAGATCGAGGCCGGCGGGACGATCATCCACGTCAACAACAAGTACATGGTCGGCTTTGCGCAGCGACTTGGCCTTAAGCTCGTCAAGCCCGGGCAGTTTACAGGCGGCAACTCGCGCATGGGCATCTTTACGGGCGACGACTTTGCCATCGAGACGTCGACGTCGAGCTACGTGACGATGGCCAAGATGCTCTGGCGCTACGGGCCGCTCAATCTCAAGCGCATGAAGGACGTCGTTCAGGAAACACTCGACAAATTTGACGCCATCTACGCGTTGCAGGACAACGGCGCCGCCTACACGTCACCCACGGAGCTCATCGCGGCCCTCGGTACGCTGCTCTTTCTTCAAAGGACCGCAGCAAATGCGAGTAGGTCTCTTGGAGACGACACAGACGTCGCTCGAAGCCATCATGGTGGCCAACGGCGTGAGCCCGCGGCTCATCAACGAGCTCATGGCCGGCATTACGCGCGTCAACTATGGCCAGAACACGACGATGAGTGGCTTTGGCGGTCTCGTGGGGCTCGCTGGCTCGGGCGACGACCTGCGTGCGATCGCCGGTGGCGACTACCAGGTTTAGCGTTCTGGATTCGCGTCTTCCTATATACGCGGCCATCGATAGATCCCCGAAGGCCTCTTCCGCGAGGCCAAAGCCAACGTGTACCTTAACACGACCATCACGTCCATCACGCCCAACGCCGACGGCACGTTGAAGCTCATGACCTCCCGCGGGAGCTGGGTTACATGCAGTGGCGTCGTCGTCGCCACGCCACTCGAGCTCAGCAACGTGGCGCTGCCAGCGCATGTGCACATTGCGCCACGTCCATTCCAAATGACGCACACGACGTTTGTCCAAGGCGAGTTGACACCCGCGTACTTTCAGCAACGCAGTGACGTGCCCGAGACGATCTTGACGACCGAGAACGCGTCGCTTCCATTCTCGTCGATCGGATTGCAGTACCGCCAAGGTACGTGCTACTGATGGCGTCATCTTGAGGCACGGTAACACATGGAGCGTGGAGGTAGATGGCGTGAGCTTGTACAAGGTCTTTTCGCGAGCGCCCATGACATCGGCCGTCTTGGCCGCCTTTTTTGAGCCGCCGTTCGAGATTGTCGCAACATATCCGTGGGCGGCCTACCCAACGTTCCACGTGCCGGAAGTTTTTGGCCCGTTCAAGGTGCTGCCTGGCGTCGTATACCCCAATGCAATCGAGAACGCGGCGAGTGCGATGGAGATGAGCGCGCTCAGCGGCCGCAACGCCGCGCACCTCATCCTCGCGCACCTACACCTGCCCCGCCCCGCAACGACGTTCTTTGCCAGTATCAAGGAGGAGCTCTAAGCACGAAGGTTACGATTACTATGACGCTATGTGCTTTGGTCTTGGCTGGTCGGCAGCTGTCGCATTACAGCGTCGTACTTGGCGCTGAGCTCGGCGCAGCGCGCTTGGGCGTCGTCGAGGAGGCCTTGGTACATGGCCGCTTGCTCGCCAAGGCGCTCTTCGAGACCATCTACTTGAGCGACGTAGAAGCGGATGTCAGGCTCGTCCTTTGCTTGGAGCTTTGCCAGCAGCGCGGCGTTAGTACCTTCCAGCGCAGCGCAGCGCTCGCGCCACATGGCCACGTGGGCGGCGGGATCGAGGCTTCGCTTCGCACTTGGCGACGGCGGCGACGAGGCCGGGAACACGTGCGGGCGCACGGCCGCGCCATGAAGCGGACTGCTGGCCTCTAGGATCTCCTCCATGGCCTCGACCTCGTGCTTGTACTGATCCAACTCGACTTGCTGCAGCTGGTAGCGCTCGACTTGACCCTCGAGGTCGGCCACGTTCTTGTGCGCATCGTTGAGTGCGGCTTCTTGGCGACCGAGGAGCTGGGCGAGCCCGTCGTTCTGCTTTTTCAAGTGCGCGATCTCCAAGTGCAGCGTCGCCGAGGCCGTGTGGTCGCGGTCCAAGAGCTGTCGATGCGTCGCGTGCTGCTTATCGGCGAGGGCGAGCGCCCGCTCCAGCTGCGCCATCTTGGTCGCCATCGTGGCCTTCGTGCGCTCGAGCGCCGTGATGTGCGCTTGCTGCGCCTCCAGCGTCGCATCCAGCTGCACGCTATTCGCTTGCTCCTGGTCGTACCGCGCGGTGAGTGACACAATGTGCTTCTGGAGCTGCTGCAGCTGCACGGCCGATTCGCGCGCTCCAGATTCAAGTTCGTCGCGCTCAAGTTCGAGCGCAACGATCCGTGCGTGGCTCTCGACACTCTCGTGGTGTTTTTGCGCACGAAGCGCTGTGAGCTGGCGTTCCTGCCCGTCCAGTTGTAGCTGCAGGTTTTCCATGTCCACGTTGGCGCTCGCAACCACTTCGAGGTCCCGTACTTGGCTCTCGAGTTCGCGCACCTGAGACTCGCGATCCTGCAGCGTGGCGTTCACAGCGCGCACCTGCGCTTCGAGTTCGCGCACCCGAGCGCTCGACGACGCAGATGATGATGGTCCTCGAGCATAGACAGTGCGCTGGAGGTAGCATTGGTCGAGCTGCGCCCGCAGGACGTCGACGACCCACGCCGACGTCGACGACATGACGTCCCATACGCCGTCGACGTCCTTGCGGCTGGCGAGCGCACTCTGTAGCGACGAGCACTGCGCCGTGAGCGACAGCTTCTCCTCGTTCATGCTCACGACCGACGCTTGGAGTGTCGCCAGCTGCGCCTGGAGCTCGATGTGCGTGCGCTCGTACGACGCGATCGTGGCGCCCAGCTGGTCGCGCTCGACTTTCCACGCCGCGACGTCGGGCTCGGCGACGGGTGCGCCAGCTTGGAGCGCTTCGATCGTATCTTCGAGCACATTCATGCGCGTGACGGCCTCACCCATCTGCTCGCAGTGCGTCTTGGCCAGCCCCAAGAGCTTGGCGCGGAGGCTATGGAGCTCGTCGTGGGACCGATGGAGCTTCTCTTCCGTGCTGAGCTTGTACTGCTTGAACTCGTCTTCGAGGAGCGTCACGCTTTGCTGCGACCGCACGTACTCGCCGAGACGCCGGAGCTCCTTCTTGAGGTTGAAGAGCTCGCGCTCGTAGCCTTGCTGGCTCGCCATCGTCTCGTCTTCGAGCTGGAGCGGCATCCGCTGGAGCTGCGCGTCGAGCGCTGCGATCGTGTCAGGCAGCACCAACGATGCCGTTCGCTGCATCGGTGACGTTGGCGCGTCACTGTCGCTGTGAAAGTGCTGGATGAGCGTCTCCGCGTCCGCCAAGTGGTGCTCGAGGCCCTCGGCGGCTTGGACCCATGCGGCGTTGGCGCGCAATAGCACCGACGAGCTGCTCCGGCGTGCCATGGTGGGCTTGAGCAAATCCTCTTTTGACACTGCGTTGGATTGTGCGTGCTGAAGCTCGCGCGTCAGCGCCTCGCACTTGCCTTGCCACACGACAACGGCGGCCTCGGCGGCCTCGCATTTGCTTTTCCAGTTGAGCGCCGTCGTCGCATACGACTCGCAGTCGGCCTTGAACCGGGCGCAAGCGGTGGTGAATTCAGCAATCGTGGCATCTTTCGCAGCCAGCGCTGCGTCCTTGGTAGCCAGCTCCGATACCGACGCTGCCAACTCCGCGTCCCTGGCTTCCAGCGATTCGTTGCACGCTGCGAGCTTGGCCGCACCTTCTTCGCGTTCGATCGCGAGCTCGAGGTCGGAGGCAGCCTTGGCGGTTGGCGACGACTGCAGCGCTGCCATCGCCGCCGCCTCGATCGGCCGCGCTGTCGCAAGCACGAGCGCCGGTGTCGAGAGCGATGCTGTCTTGCGCATCACAGGCTTGTTGGTCTTGGACGACGTCTAGGAGTTGGCAGCTAGAAACATGCACACATGAGATGTACTACCTCGATCGCATGCGGTGGCTTGAGCAACGACGACGTGGTCGCTTGTCGCGTGAGCAGTGGCTTCTTCTCCGGTACCGTCGACCGAGGTGCGGATGACACGCGGCTTGTTGCCGTGCGCTGAATCTGTGACGACGGCGTCGTCGACGGTCGTGGTTTTGGTATCGTCGACGTTGGCGCGGGCGGCGGGCGTGTCTTGGCGGGCGGTGTCTTGCTCGCCGGTGGGATGGTACTGCTGCGAGGGCTCGCGATTGACAGTCGAGGTTTGGTGGCGTCTGCGGTCGTCTGGAGGCGCGTCGGGGCGGCCACGGACCGCCGCTGGGCGAGGCGCGACGCCATGCCCCGTCTATTTCTGGCCTTTCTACGAGCCTCCGCGTTAAGGTGGCTATGAATAGCAGCGTGCGGGACGACCCACGAAGCAAAATCGCCAACCGACGCGACAGCGTCACCAGCGCCCACAATGAGCCGGCTCTAGTTTTGGAAGTAAATGACCTCCGCCTGATCCTTCCATCGACCGCATGGCAGACGCCCGATCGCATCCATATATTCCATCGCAGTACGACGAGCCAAAGGTCAAAGGTGGCGCTTTCTCCGCTCGTCGCCACGTCCAACACAACGCAAGCAGCTCTTCCTTGCATATTCCCACCACCACCACAACAACAACAACGATCATCATCAACCATCAACCCGTCCATTCATATGAGGGTACACCTCCAAAACATGCAAAATAGGCGCGCGACAGCGGCGGGCGGACGGGAGATGCGGGTGGTTGGCTTAGGGCTTGACGACCGTCCACTGCGCCCACGCGCCGTCCTTGGCGTTACCGACGTGCATCATGACCGAGTCAGGGTACGCGCCGCGGACGCAGTTGTTGCAGCGCGAGACAAACTTGCCCGTGTCGGCCTGGAGACCGATCTTGCCGTTGCCGAGATCCACGCACGTAAACTGCGCCCACGGGCCATCGCGCCAGTTCTTGACGTGCACGAAGGCCTCGTCCGGGTACGCGGCGCCGGCCGCGCAGTTGTTGCAACGGGACAAAAAGTTGCCGGAATCGGCCTGGAACGCGAGCTTGCCGTTGCCCGTGTTGAAGACCTTCCACTGCGACCACGGGTTGCCCGCGAGCGCCGGCACGTGGAGCATGGCCGAGTCTGGGTACGCCGCACCCGAGATGCAGTTGTTGCAGCGGCTAAGGAACTTGCCCGTGTCGGCTTGGAGGCCCACGACTTGGCCATCCGTGAACGTGCACGCGGGCGACGGCAGGCGGTTGACCGTGAACTGCGCCCACGGGCCGCTCGTGTAGGCGTTGACGTGCACAAAGGCAGCGTCCGGGTACGCGCCACCGCTGACGCAGTTGTTGCAGCGCGCAAGATAGTTGCCGCTGTCAGCTTGGAAGGCGATCTTGCCGTTGCCAGCGTCAACGCACGTCCACTGGGCCCACGGGCCGGTGCGCCAGTCCTTGACGTGGACGAACGCCTCATCTGGGTACGCGGCGCCCGGGGCACAGTTGTTGCAGCGCGCGAGGTAGCTCCCGGAATCAGCTTGGAGCGCGAGCTTGCCGTTGCCCGTGTTGGTGACCTTCCAGACAGCCCACGGATTGCCCGTCGGCGTCGGCACGTGGAAGAAAGCCGAGTCCGGGTTGGCGCCGTTCGGGACGCAGCCGTTGCAACGGGCGAGGTACTTGCCCGTGTCGGCCTGCACCGTGATGAGGTCGCCGTCGTTGAACGTGCACGCCGCCGACGCCGCGAGCTGGACCGTCTCCATGTTAAAGGACGGGAGCGCCGGCTCCGTGTGCGCGACGGTTGCCGTGTACGCGCCAAGGAACGCGAGGCTCGTACCGAGCGCAATGAGGGCCTTGCGCGTGCGGGACATGGGCTCGACCTCCTTGAGGAGCAGGTGCGTCTGCGGGCGTTCGAGATCAATGGCCATGCTGGATGCTTTCGAGGCGAATTGGAAAATGAAGTCGATTGGGGCAGCCAGGTCGACGACGTCGGGCGCACAGAATCGGCGCGATCACTTGTCCATCCAAAGATGTGCTAAGTAAGATATCATCGTCGGCGAATCTTGGTCCAGCACTCCTCGGTTAACTATCAGCTCACGTACTGTAAATATGTTCGGAACGTAAAAGACCTCGGCGGCGATGAGCATGATAGTGCGAGATTGCGTGCCTCGAGCACAGAGTCCTTGATCGCAGAGCAGCGCAGTACGTGGTGTTGCGCGGTTCTGAATAGGTCCGATGGACACCACTATCCTTGGCGACACTTCTCTTCGAGAGGGGCGTGCAGAGGATGGCTGGCACGCGCCTCCGAAGCTACTTCAACGTGCGCAACAGACATATGTTTTGGGCTGGACCAAGAAAGCGTGGGTGGTTTGACCCATCGACAGCATATGATTCGTATGCGCACACAGAGGTCCACACACCACGAGTACCCCCTATCACAATACGTGCTGCCTTTTTAAGTCGACCTCCCCCTCCCTCACATATTCGTAGCAGGTTGATAGCCAAATACCTAGGCCTGCGGCGACTTGCTCCTCAGGGTCTTGGACGAGACTTAAAAGCTCAAAAGCAGGTGCAGTCGAGCGACTCTTGCTCCCTTGATGGCCGTGTTCTTGGCAGTTGTAGGTCCAAGCGGAAGACACGGCAATAGGAGTTGAAATGCTGATCATTTTCTGAAAGCCGTGAGCCCAAGTGAGCCAACCCACGGCTGACGTGGCCCTTACCCCCCCCGAGACGTATTACCTGCAGGTACCCAATATTTTGACAGGGCTTTTGCAACTGATGCGTGGCCCCCTACGATCAAAGCACAGACGAAGCCTGTCGACGGACCAGATTGCTTTAGCTGGCTCATCGATCACTCTATGAATCTCAATCTTGTGTTTGGTGGCGAATCTGATTTGAGCTTTAAATTTTCGAGCAACGACTCTGTCGTGTCGCCAGTCGTCTGTGTCGTGGCAAAGCACCTGTGCCGCAGCTATCAGCGCCCATCCATGCCGCAGCTATTAGCGCTCATCCACGTTGAAGGCTTGGCCTAGCCCGATTTTAAACAGATCCTGCCTCGTCCGCCTGTCATGATAAAGAGTAGCCTCCGAATCACCCAGCGTCAAGGTGATCGCAACACCGGATGGGGTGCAGATGCACGCACCGCTTTGCATACCGCACTAATCGGATCTCCTACCGTGATCCACCGTTCTTGCAGTACGGTATACGAATGGAGGTGGGACATGGAATGTACGAAATCAATTTCGCCGCTTTCTGTTTTCGATACGGCGAGGTGATTGAAACGAAGCGTTCCTAGTCCATACAGGATAGTGCTGAGCAGTGGGAATGAGCCATCCTTGGCTACGGTCGCGACGCTTTCCTCTGCTTCCGACAAGTCAAACAAGCATTATAGTCATACAAACCTCGTCGAACTGTCGACAAGGTTTTTCACTCTTCCCCCACGTCGTTCGGAACTCGTGCGTTCAAACACTCTTGGTTTAGGCACCATAGCATGGAACATTGTCCAATATTGTCACGTTTATGATCGATGAAACGCTACGCGCTCGTACTTGGTTTCGAGCCGACGGCCAAATGCTGGTACCCGTACGCCTACGAGCGCAACGTGGTCGATGTGGTATCGAGGCGCATGCATCGCACCTTGCGGATGTGATCCAGCAGCGTCAAGATCACAGTGCGGTCCCCGGCGTAAATCTCGCGGTCTTTGCGTAGCATGATAAGCGGCATGGTCTACGAAATTGTACAATTTTCACAAGGAAATATTTGGCCGCGCCAAAACTACCTTTTTGAGCCGCAAGATATCGAGCACTTTTTTGATATTGTGGAGACACGGTGCTTTCTTGCCTTTGGGCTGTCGGCACACGCCCTCGAGCACACGAATGTGCTCGACCTTCTCGACGACCTGCACGAGCAAAAGGCCGTCGCGAAAGGCGTCCAGCGTATGGCCCTATCCAATACCCCGCATGTGTGAATCAAGGTTGCAACAAGACTGTGCAGTCGTACGTCGAGGCGCGGGAGTGGCTTGACTTGAAGGTGCTCAAGCCACGTTACGAGAGGCTCAGTGTCGACGGCCGGCAGCGCAGCACTGGCTCGCGGCACCAGAGTCGGTCGTCGGACAAACTGGGGCGGCGCATGCGGCGACGGCAGTGTCGGTGGCCTCGCTGATTCCTCTTCGATGTCGATCCCGTCCGAGTGGTGGGCGCGGGGCAGTAGGTCGAGGTCCGTGTCGATGTCAATCTCTCGCCATTGGCGCGAGCTCGAGATGGCAGCTTGCGTGTGCACACACTCCAGGTGGTGCTGTTTCGTGCCACTCGCGTCGTCGTTCGCATCGTCGTCGTCCTCTCTCGATGGGCAGCAAGTGGTCGGTGGATACAGCGGCGCGCGGGAGGCATCGTGGCGGCGCCACCGCCTAATCCAAAATGCAGAAAACCATGTTTAG